GTCCACTCCAGCTGAAATGGGAAAGATGTGCCSTGTACTGTCCACTCTTCTAGGAAAGTGAATATTGGTGTTTAAAATACAGACACTCATCTGCTCTTTAACTTCTAAAMTGTTTGATTTGATTATTTTAATGGACAATATCCATATCAGTATTTGATAAGGATATCATAAAATACAAATGATCATAAAATCCATCTTTAGTAGKGCTCTTGAGTAAAAATTAAGTCATTACAAAACCCAACAAAAATGAAGAAAGAAGATGCTGTGTTTTGTGGGTAAATAGCACATGCAAATAAGACAAAAGTTCTGTGCCAAGGAAATGATATGTGAAGGGTGTGTAAATTCCATCAGACCAAGTATTAATGTAAAATATCTCAGGAAGGAGGTCTGAACAAACCATAATAAAGTTGTTATAAAAGTAAATGAAAATTATTCCTTTTTAAAAATAAAACCTGTAGTGCCATCACTTTTGAGAGGATGATATTAAAATCTTAATTGGCTGCAGTATTTTTTGTAACCTTAAGTGGAAGTTGTAAATTATACCATTAATCTCAGTTTAATAATGGCTTTGCATTGAAGACAAAGCATGTACAATTCTGAATTAGAAGTGTAACATCACTATATTGAATATGCACAATATGCATTCGATCTGGTGTAATCAGGAAGATTAAAAAATGTCTTTAAAGACTTAAATATTTAATTCATCTTGTCATAATATTCGTTCTTAGTTTGACTTTCAGCAGTTTTTTTTTTATTTTCRGTACTTCATTTGGCATTGTTTCGTTTGCAAGTAGTTATCAAGTGGAGAAATAAAATCTTTCTATATGTAGTTTCTCACAGAAATAAAGAACAAAATAAACAGTGATCAAGCTCTCAAAAATGTTGTGATTTGAGAACCAAGGCTTTTAAACTTCTTTTCCTTACAAAGTACTGATATGAAAGAATTTAAGAAGTAACWAGTAAAGTCCATCTGAGAACATGTAATAAGACCTCTGGATAGTTTTCTCATTGTTTCGTTTGCTGTATAGCAAATCAACATGTGGCAATTTCAAATGCMCTTCCTAACATTATATTGGAAACAAAATACATTAAATGTGTAGGAGGTAGAATAGTAGCATTCCCTCTTTAAATTGTGTGTTTAAAATATTTCATCTTTGAATCACAAAACATTGTTTGAAACATATCTGGTTTACACTGCTTTTTAATTAAATAATTGTGATAGTTGTTTTGTATATTTATATTCAAATGCAGACTATAAGAAGTTGCAGATTTTACTATAACAAATACACTAAATATGAGAATTCCGTATAAGTAATTTCAGTCCTTAAAAGTAATTTTGTTCAGCATATTCCTGTAGCATGTATTATTAATGTTTTAAACTAAATAAATGCTAAATAGGTTTTATTGCTAAAACAATTGTCAGTATAGTAGCAACATTTCATTCTGAGGAAAAACCSATCCTAGAGTTGTCAGACTTTCATTGGCTTCCATTCTGGTATTGTGGAATTTATTACTCCTTTTTATTGACCAAAACAATCAGATTGATAACAATGGGGGAAGCACACTTCACCTTTCTTTGTTCCTGTTCTCACTGTAGACAAATTACATTCTTACACATAATTAAAAGGTGCGTAACTGGATGTTTGATCTTCAAAAACTTTGTTTCCTGAAGAGTGAGATATGCTTAGCCTCTTTTATATCATGAAAAAGAATACTTGGGCTGTTGCCTAGCTGTGTTAGTTGAAGCTATAGTTACCCTCCTTCAGATCAGTGACAAAAGTGGGTAAAATTAGCAAAGAAATACTAAGTTTTAATTTGCTAATTGTTCAATAAATTTTCTTAAATCAGTGTTGTTAAAATATTTTTAATATTTCACACATGCTTGCTTTCATCTTCACATGCTAGAAAAATATTGTAATGATGTAAAAATAGAAGTGTGGAAGAAAAGCAAAGAAAATTATGGCTAAACTAAGAGAAAACTTGTGAGAACTTTGATCATTACCCATCTTGTAATCACATAAGGACATTAGCACTTTAGTGTACATTTTCAGGTAATCTTAATTTTTCTTATTTAGTCATTTCAAAGTAACTGTATAGAACTGAATGAAATTAAAAGAAAAAAAATACCTTAAACAATGAAAGCATCTTAGGAAGAAATCTATTATTTAGAATTACCATATTGAGGAATCRGTGTAAAACAAGTAAATTCAGAGTGTCAGACAACACACATTTGTGGAGATTGAAATCAAAATACTGTGTGCATAATACTTCTACCAGCAATCAAGAGCAGTAAATGAGGATAAGGTTAATTTTTACTCACTGGTCCAAACCATAGACAGCAAAGTTTGTTAATACATCTGACTGATGTGTGTATATAGATATATTTTAAAAGCTGATGTTTTATGTTTTTTYTATGCTTGGGCTCTGTACACAGAGTTTTAAAATTTTGTGTATACTTTGCAGCATTCATCCATTTAAGTCTTCATTCCTGATGAGTTAACTAAAAGAAGATCCTTTCAACACTGGAATGTTTTCCCCTGTTCCTTTGCATCACTGTTTTCCTTGTTTGTTGTAAAATAAAGTATTGGCGGGTTTTGTTTTCTAGTTCTTTCRCACTCTAATCATACTTATAGTACCCAGCATTCTTTAAAAAAATACTGCTAGCTTTACTCTGGAAGAAAATGGTCCCCTGGCTACCACTGTGAAAGAAACAAGTTTAATGTATTAATTTTTCCTTTTACTTTTGGAGGAAAGCATATATCTTACTTAAATGGAGTAACTATTTTTGTCTGCTTTATATTTTTCTAAACAAATTATGTTTCTAAGTCCTTTGGTAGCRAAGTTGCTTAAGGTAATGGGTTCAAAACAATCCATATCTAAGAATTCTTTTAAAATACATACAGACTTGCTATTATTTTTTACTGAACAATAATTGGTAAAAAAAATAGATTACATAAACTGTTGAATAAGTTGAATTACAGATTATTGTGCTATTTGTAAGGGAAAGTGGGTTATCTTTGTTGGGTGTCTGTCAGTGTGCCTTTAACTGATACTGCACTTTTCATTTTTTTTCCTTATCCAGCAATAATTCCACATGGTGTTCTGTTGCATTTTTTTTGTTACAGTACTGTTATAGTATCCTTCCACATGCTGTGAATGCCCAGTTAAAATAAGGATTGGTTTCAAAACAAGTGACATTTTCTCTCAAAGTGACTTGCTATCTAGTACACAATTCCTAAACAGCATTTGTTTATTTTCTTGCAGTTACAAAGTTTATGTAAATGCCAAGGTAATTTCAGAACTAAAACACCAATATACTTTTTGGGTTTGTTCAGTGTAAGGAGGCACAGGAGAGTTCACCATGAGACATTTCAGAGCCAAAACCTGCTTCCATTTAATTAGGGGCTGATTTTGTATGGCTTTCAGTAGGTTACAGTAAAATACATGCCAGATGAGTTTCTCATTTAAACTATCTATTTAAGTGAGTTCATAGAATTAAAATGCTCAGGCTTTTCTACAACATCCTTTATGCCAAGCTTTGGGTATCGAATCAGGAAGCTTTTTGCAATAACTATAAAAAAAATTAGATATCTGTTTTTCTGCTTAATAATCTGTTATATTTATGTGACTTTCTAGAATGTGTGACGCTTAAAAATGTGTTATGAAATGACAATACTGGAAACAAGAATAACTCGAACTTGTGCTGTTTTCTGCTACTTTTTTAAAGAACTGTACTTTCCTGCTTTAAATCCTGACACCTCTCCCCCAAATACTTATTTTTAATCCCTTCATAAGCTGGAGCAGGCTACATTCCAAAGTCAAGAACGGATCCTTTACTCTATGCTTGCATATTTCATTGTGTTGCATAAATAATGCAAGTAAATCTGAAAGACACAAAAGCCACATAGCCACAGGTTGGCAGAACAAAGAAGCAGATACAWGAGGTTGGGCTTCAGTGCTTGAAGGTGTAAAAGCAGAGATAGATWTAATACAAGACAAAAGTCCACACAATTCCAGTGGAAAACTTTGTTACTACAAAAGAAGAGGAACTGAATCAACTTGCCATTGTTGTTGCACTGAAAGGAAAAATTGCACCACCYCCTTTTCCACTTTATGATGCTGAAAAAGATTCAGGATATTTGTCTGCAAGGGGAAGGATATTAGAGAACTTTGGTTCTCATTTGTCTTTGTTCATTCTTCTTCTGACTTTGCTCATTCCTAGTAGAATATCCAATTAAAAAAAAATTATTTAGTAAGAGAGCAGAATAGCTATCCATATGTTCTCCTAACTTGGAAAAAAAGACATAACTCAGATTTCTCTAAAACTAAAGAGAATTTGGCTTATGTCTAAACAGGTTTATATTGTAGTTCTTTGATTCTTTTTGATGGATTTTAGTTAGATTATTCAGAAAGACAGTAGAGAGTGACAAGAGGACAGGTTTGTGGCAGGTGAGTTTATGCATGCTCCTATCTATTCATCCTTCATTTGTTAAACTGGACAACCCAAGTAACAAGCCAACAAACCAAGGTATTTTCCTTCATTCTTCCTGCCATCCACAGATTTTTTTCTGTGTGATATTTTTGCTGACATGTGCAATAAGCTAGGCATTTTTTCAATTAGTGCAAAAAGACACCTTTCATGAAGTTTCAGTCATGTCACACGTCTGTATTTGTATGACTGATTTTGTTTAGATTGAGACCTAGAATTTAATGTCATTACATACAGTGCTCTGCAGTTTTATCACTGACATAACTAAGAGCATTTTTCTGTTGATATTCATAAGTTGGCATTGAGTTACAATTTTGACCAAGAAAGAATCCTGGAGAAATATTTTTATTGGCTTTTCTTAAATAATATACAAGTTATGACTTGATTGTTTAATATGTACAATTTAAGCATAGTAAAGACAACTCACTACCTCTTAGGTTACCTATTGCAATTAAATATTGATAAAGGAAAAAGCCGCCTTCCAATATTCTGCAAATTCTGTGCCTTTTCCTTCTGTTGTCACCAACTGTGTAGATTTCATAAGAGACCAATGAAAGGGGCAATGCTTTTGCTGGTGCTGGGGGGGAAAAAAACAGCAGCTGATTTTTTATCTTATGCCTTTCTTGTCTCATTGTGGCTCTGACAGCTAGGTAAGTCTCAAACAGTAGGTTTACAGGTCACTTCATAGAGTCGCTGCCCTGGCATTTTATGGCCTCCTAATGAGCCGTTAAACTGGAGATGAGGTAATTAAATACGGTACTCTGGCACAGTGTACGCGGTACTGACTCCAGCTCTCTGATTTTAGGTTCCTCAGAAGACGATGAGGTCATTCAAGAAGGTCTCCTCAGGCTCAGGTCAGTCTTCTCTACAGCGTCTTACGTGGCCGACTGTGTATCTGTAAAACTGAGGTACTGCAGCACTTCTCTGATGAACATAATTATTGGTGGGATGGGGGAGAATCGTTAATTTAATGAACAGGCTTCAGAGCTCGTGTTTGATGCAGTCTGAGTGTTCTGCTTCTGTAAGAAAAATAAACAATTACATAAGGAAAGTTTATCTGCAGTTAACCCTATGTCACATACCTGTCGCAAATGGGAGCCCAMGGGTTTGTATGAGCGCTGCAGTACCACCAGCCCAGCAGACGCGCCGGCGGGCGCACACACCTCAATCGTTGACTAAAATTTATACTCCGGGAGTTATTTTYGTGCCGCTGTCACATTACCGCAACGCACGCCCTCCGATCGCGACGCCTCRGCAGTGCCGTCAGTCCAGCCCCTCGGCCCGCCCGTCCAAATCTGGTGGCCAGCCCCGCTCTCCGCGCGTCCAGCCCCTTTGCCCGCCCGTCCA